GAATATTGGATTATTTAGATTTGAATTATTGTTAAAGTGATTCTCCTTATTTCTTTTGAGGATTTATGATTGTTTAAAGGAAGAATGATGATTGATGATTGAGAATTGCGATTAATGTTGATTATTGGAAATCGCTTTTGAAAATGAGTAACGCCTCAATTAGTAATGAAATAAATTTTGAAAAATTTATTCTGAATTTCGTCTATTAAAAGTGGGGCGTTACAGTTGGTATCAGAGCCAATCATGCTTTTCTGTAGACTGGTTAATGTGAATTATTGTGATTATGTGCTTTGACCTTAAGTTATGACCACTCGCTCTCGTCGTGCCGCGCCAGATCAGGTATGGGTACCTGAATGATTTTGAGATTTTTGTGCATTGATTGAATATTGATTATTGCAGTGAAGTCGGGGCTTAGGAATTTATCCTCCTGCTTTTAAACATTCTTGAACTCTAGATGAGTGGCGAACTTAGTCGTATGAACTTGAACTCTAGAGGTATAGAGTTAAGTTCCGACTTGAGAAATTGTCTGTTTGAAAAATCGATATAATGTTATCGAGAAATTCTATTTATAGCAGTGCTTTTGCTATAAGACTTGCTGTCCTCAAGAGAGGGCCATTCGCAATGCCATCTCGAAAGGAGAAGGCTTAAATGGAGGGAGAAGACGACCGAAGGAGTCCCAGTTATTTGGGTATTCGGGAGTCTGTAATCGTTGTCGATAGGACCATTAGATGCGTGATTAGAATTCAGTCAAAGGTGGCGATGATATTTTGCCAAAATTCTCGTTAGTATATTAAGCCGCTGGCGATTTCCTAGCAGCAGCAGGACCTACTGAGAACAGCTTGAACCGAAGAAGGAGGCGGTAAATCGTGGACTCGTGGATGCGAGGCAACTTTGTCCCTTATCGAATTCTTGTCTTCTTTTAGACTTTTGCAAACCTTTTCCATTTTGTATGATAAACAATTTTGAATTGTGCTTGAAGCTTCTTTCGTTAGCCAATTTTTCGTGTTTTGATAATTTCGTTGATCTTTCCGTTCTTGGCGTAAAACTTCAAATGGAGTGATTTGACGCATGTCAAGGAGTGTTTCCTTCCACCTTATAAGGTTATGCATAAATCTTTTAAGGAGGATAGTCGAGTCCAGAACAAATACATCGTGGAGTGCAGAGCCACCTCCACTTGAGATGTTCGTTCATTGTATCTTTAGAAGTTCATTTAAGACTGCCGACACGGTTAGCTGCGTGAATCGAGAGCTGACGTGATGGCCGACACTGTTAGTCAGAAGAGTCGAATGAGCTAAACGTTCATTATTTTGGTGGTGACCGCTGGGATTGGGATTGTTCTGGCTGAGGAACCGATCCTCGTTTCTTTCGGGAAGTTTTTCCCGACCCATATCATAGGTTGTTCGGTGGATTAGACAAGAAAGTGGACTTGGAGCTTGAACATGCCCCTTGCGATATTTGAGACTTTTGAAACCTTTGAAATGGCGAAACGACTGAAATATATATATTGGACCAACAAAAAAAAAAAAAAATCGTTAATGGTAAAACCATTTCTTTTGGTAATCTGAGATTGAATCCTACTTGTGAAACCTTGAACCGAACGCCGACTCTGGCTGGGTGTAGCCACGCGAAGTGGTGGCCGAGCACGCACGATCGTGCTGAGAGATGGGAGGCTTGCGCGCGGCCGACCGTTGACTCGCATGCGAACTGCAGCCGCCATCACCGTACGCACGAACTCCCCAGACCAACGTGTACGGCCAACCATTGATGTTTTTCTTGAACTGTTGAAACTGTTTCGTGTTGGAATATATGGTTATCCTTTTGAACCCCTTTTCGTTCGAACCTTGAACCGAGAGCTCCAAGTCCCACTAAAGGTGTGTAAATCCTTAATCAATGATTTCAGAATAAAGAGTGTAATCAATGAGTCTCTATGCTTTACTTGAGAGTTTCTCAAGTCGTCGAATTGGGAATGTCATCATGCTTTTTGCCAAGCCTTATGTTCGCACATAAGGGCTTCGTTCGAATCGTGGAGTCAATATCATGTGGATATGAGCACCTGAGGTGTGTTGTATACCGTGTCATAGTCTCCGATGGAGACGCTCGGTCCGTGACAAAATCGTGAGCAAGTTATCAGTATGACTCGGGCACGAGACTGAAACTTGGTGTCACGTGTCCATATTGTTGGTGAGATGGTCGGAGTATGCTGGCAATACACTGAACGACGTGTTGAGGTATTGTGTGTTGTTAGGTATGTAGTTAATTGTTGATACTCATGGGTATAGGTCACGCCGGACTAAGTCTATTGCAAGAAGATGTGCGCCTCAGCTCGGGCAGGATTGATCACCCTCCCATGCAATAAGGCAAACATATGAGCATAGGGCGAGCTGGATTGAGTCCTGTACGTGAGTGTATGCTTTTCGAGTATGTCGTTTTCCTTTAGATGAGTGTTCTTTCGTATTTCCGAGGACGGAAATATTTTTAGGAGGATAGATTGTAATGCCCCGTTTAATTATTGAATATTTGAGAATTATTTAATATTTATTATTATTACTTGCCTCTATTTGTTGTTGTTATTATTATTATTATTGTTATTATTATTATTATTAATTGAATGTTAAATATTATTAAATGTCGATATGATTTATCTGTTAAATTTCGATTAAATGACTAATTGCCTAAATGTTATCTTGTTGTCAAATTGTAATTACATGCTTAAATGGATATTTGTATTTTTATTAATATTATTATCATTTTAAAATTTAATTATGTGTATTATATAAATACATATAATATCCGGTTCATTTATTTGTGTGATTTAATTTTCGAGCCAAACAAATTTAATGATGCGATTAATCGAGCCAGGAGAACCGGATGACCCTCGAGCCCGACAAACCGAACTGGCCCAGCTTGACCCAAGACGAGTTGCTAAGTTGTCAGCCCAACTAATGATAAGCAGCCCATCTTTCGGCCCATTTTTTTGTTAGCTGCGACCAAACCCATCTCCAGTCTCTCTCTCTCTCTCTCTCTCTCTCTCGTTTTGAACAGAAAACAAGAAGTCGCAGTCGAACTTCCCTCTTTTCTCGGCCATCAATCCGCCACTAGCAGCGACAAAGACGCCCAAACTCCTTGAAATCTGGTTCTCCTATACCCTAATTCTCTCAGTATTTAAGACCTCAAGAATTATCAGATTGCAACCTCAATTACTTCCCAATTTCATAAATTCGCGCAGCAAATTTCGAGAAGCCAGCGCACGACCGGCAATCGCGGAACCAGCCATTTCATGGAAACCTTTACCCCTTCCTATCGCCACGACCAGAACTCATCGGCGTTCGCATCTCGGCGACTTCGAACTCACGCCAACGTCTGGCGACCAAGGAGCCGTGACTGTTTTACCGAATTTAATAGGTGCGTTTTTCCGGTTAGGCGAATCTGCAGATGTGACCAGCGAAAGCCATCCTTCACGAAGGAATACCAGTTTTTCCGGTAAGAGGAACACGCGACGGGAACCTATTTTTCGAGAACCAGGCCGAGAGCGACGTTCACCGAGGGTCAGCGTCCCTGACTTGACGTGAACCTCGACGACCGAAGCTCCATTTACGGGCGGCTGAGAGCAGGTGAGATGGAATAGCACGAACAACAGCGACTTACCAAATCTCCGGCGAGCACGGGCCAAGGAGACGGTCTGGCAGAAAGCATACTTTCAGCGACGTCGAGTGGCTCTCGTGTCAAGGCGGGTTCCGTACGCAGGCAGAGGCGCCACTATTCGAAGGACCGAGTGCTAACGTGCGGTGACCTGGTGTTTGAGAAGTCGTCGATCGAAGAGAGTCGGGCTGAAGAGCCATCAGACCCATTTATTTGGTAATGCGAGTAGGCATGTAACACTTCTCCTTACTGTAAAAATCAGAGTAGCGCAATAATTCGCAAAGTCTTTGAAAAATAA